GTTTAAGAACAGACAGAAGATGTTATGAAGAACCCGAGACTTCGTGGAGTCAGTTCTCTCATATCTTTCTGTAAAAGTTAAACATGACATTTCTTTCCAGTAAACTTACAGTTGACCGAAACTTGACCTTTGACCAACTTACACTTGCTCATTTCAGACAGAAGATCAAGAAAAATGAATAATTACTCTGTAACAGACCTTGTGGGCGGCCGTGGTGCAGTGGTAGTGGCAGCCGACCTCTGATCGGAAGGTTGGAGGTTCGAATCCCGACTTCCCACACCATGTGCCGTTGTGTCCCTGGGCAAGACACTTAACCCCGAGTTGCTCCCGGTGGGACTGGATGGCGCCTTGCATGGCAGCCTACCGCCACCGGTGTATGAATGTGCGTGTGAATGGGTGGATGGCTGGTACTGTAAAGCGCCTTGGGGCCCCTCATAGGGGGCTGGAAGGCGCTATAGAAGTAAGCTCCATTTACCATTTACCATTTAACTTGATTTCTACTTTGAATGAGGATTAAAAATCAACTGTTTCACAGTTGATTTAAAATGAGTAGTTCACTTCAACATTTAAAAATGGTTTGAACTAAGCACACTTTTGATTATCACGACATTTGTAAAATAGTAATGATAATAAAAAGAGAGTGTTCTTTCAATTGATCAGTGCAGGACACTTAGAAAGTCTCTGGATAGACTTGATTTTGTGTTTCTGGACTCAAATCAATGAAATACAGTTCTTGTCCCAGGAAGGCCCTCAAGGTCAGGATTTGACCTGAGGCTTAGTTCACTACACTGGTATGCGTGCACGCACGTGCACACATGCGCGTGCACACATGCGCATGCACACACACACTATAGTGTCCCCCCACATTACAGATGCTTCTGACGCCCATGACTTCGGGTCATTGTCATGTTGGAACACAGCCACGACCCATCTTCAATGCTCTAACTGATTGTGTGGGGTGGACCAGCGTCTTTATGCAGCTACCGACCTCAAACAGGTGCTGCTTCTGTTAGAATAATAGACTGCTTCAGAGACTCTACTTCCTCGACGGCTGAGACGAGCTGGTCTGGGAAGCTCAGTCCTCACCTCAGTCCTCACAGGTGTGCAGCGGAGAGCATCCTGTGCTCCAGCATCAGCGTGTGGCATGGAGGCTGCACAGCTGCAGAAAGAAAAGCTTTGCAGAGAGTGGTGAAGGCTGCACGGAAGTCTGTCGGAGTCAGTCTCCCCACCATCACAGACATCTACACCTCTGGATGCGGGAGGAGGGCCACCTGCATTGTGAGGGACCCAACTCACCCAGTGCACACACTTTTTGCCCCGCTCCCCTCGGGAGGGAGGTTGAGGAGCATTGGGTGTGGAACCACTAGACTGAGGAACAGCTTCTACCCTGAGGCTATTAGACTCATGAATCTCTGGCCAGAAAAATCACTGTGAAAAAAAATCACATCATGCTGCTGCTGATCTGTTTCAGTGTTGGTGTGTTTGTGCGTGCTCGTCTGCTCACACGGACTCGTGTTCATGTTTGTGCTGATGTTCGATGTAGTGTTTTTATGTTGTGGGTGCTTGGTGTATATTTGGTTGATGTTTTTCTTGGTTTGTGTCTTGGATGTTATTGTTTTTCTTATACATTTTATTGTTGGATGTAACTGGGACCCTGTGTACATAATTTTGCTCCACCACATGTACCACATGAGGTACAAATGACAAAGAAACTCTGACTCTGATAATAAGTGGAGTGGAGGTGGACTTTTTAGAGGCAGACTAGGTCTTTGAGGGCCAGAATTGTTGCTGATTGGCAGGTGTTCAAATACTTATTTGCAGCAGTAACACACAAATAAATTATTAAAAAAAAAACATATATTGTGATTTCTGGAATTTTTTTTTAGATTATGTCTCTCACAGTGGACATGCACCTAAGATGAAAAATTCAGACCCCTCAATGATTTCTAAGTGGGAGAACTTGCAAAGTTGCAGGGTGTTCAAATACTTATTTTCCTCACTGTATATGGAGTAGGGGTCAGCTGTTGCAAGCCATTCAGTCCCTATACAAACATTAAGTCTGGTCCGCACCCCCTTCAGTAAGTCGGACCTCTTTAAGATGAAGTCAGGCTTTGCCAGTGCTGTTATTTTGACAGAATTTCTCAGTGCAGCCAGGGTGTGGAAGGGGTCAGGTTTGATTGCTTCAGGTTTCTATCTCTGCTATTTGCAGACAATGTGATCCTGTTGGCAACATCATGCTATGATCTCCAGCTCTCACTGGAGTGGTTTACAGCAGAGCAACTAGGATGTGAGCAGAATCTCCAAATCTGAGGCCATGGTCCTGATGAAAAGGGTAGACAGTCCCTTTTTCACCCTGGAGCTGGGTGTGAGGTTCAGCCTCAAATGGAGAAGCTTAAGTATTCAACACAAGCTGCTGACTTCCTTAGTTAGATAACTTTTACCAATTGTCCTTTTTATGTAGGTATGTATGTAGTTTTTTATGTTTTTGTACAGTGCCTTGAGACAACTTCTGTTGTAATTTGGTGCTACATAAATTAAGTGAATTGAATTAAGTATCTTGGGGTTTGGATAAGGAGCGAAGAAAAAATAAAAGCATGAGATTGACAAGTGATTGGTGCAGCTTCTGCTGTATTGTGTGCCAAATAAAAATCCATTTAAATTACAAGCAGAATAGAGCAAAGACTACCAGAACTTTAGCAACCCTTTGCATTTTTCTCCTTTGCATTTTAATTTTATTACTCAACAGATTTCAATAACCTGTCAGAAAGTAATCACTGTTAGAGAAATTTGCATGCTAGTGATAATTGCATCATACACAAATAATCACAACACATTAGTCAGAACTCTGCAAGTGACTGCCTTGAACTGTTGTCTAGTGGAGGCAGCAGATACAATGCATTATTTTTGTTTTATTTTCTCTTTTCACAACTTGACTAAGTTTGAGAAAAATGTTTTAATAATGTTGTGCTGATAAAAAATAATTTATTTGGTGAAAGATAATAAAAATAAATAAATAAAAAACTGAATAAATGGTTTCTCGTCTCCATCTAGAGGAAGTTTGGTGCAGTGTTTCAAAGTACACACAAGTTGAGGCCACCTTATGAATAATATCTGCAAATGTTATCTCTCTCTCACACACACACACACACACACACACACACACACACACACACACACACCTATATTATATATAAAAAGGAAGCAGCAGGTAAAGATAATGGATGGATGGATGGATGGATATTTTGAAATTGGCCTTTCCATGTGTCATTGCTGTCTGTATCTCTGGTTATATACTGCAATTTAATTATTTTATTAATTTATTGTTACCATGATTGATTTAATTCTTTTTGTAGGCTCATATAGTGCCGGGCTTTATCATTCTTGTGGACATACAGGTCCTTCTCAAAAAATTAGCATATTGTGATAAAGGTCATTATTTTCCATAATGTAATGATAAAAATGAAACTTTCACATATTTCAGATTCATTGCACACCAACTGAAATATTTCAGGTCTTTAATTGTTTTAATACCGATGATTATGGCATACAGCTCATGAAAACCCAAAATGCCTGTCCCAAAAAATTAGCATATCATGAAAAGGTTCTCTAAACAAGCTATTAGCCTAACCATCTGAATCAACGACGTAACTCTAAACACCTGCAAAAGATTCCTGAGGCTTTTAAAAACTCCCAGCCTTGTTCATTACTCAAAACCGCAATCATGGGTAAGACTGCCGACCTGACCGCTGTCCAGAAGGCCATCATTGACACCCTCAAGCAAGAGGGTAAGACACAGAAAGAAATTGCTGAATGAATAGGCTGTTCCCAAAGTGCTGTTTCAAGGCACCTCAGTGGGAAGTCTGTGGGAAGGGAAAAGTGTGGCAGAAAACGCTGCACAACGAGAAGAGGTGACCGGACCCTGAGGAGGACTGTGGAGAAGGGCCGATTCCAGACCTTGGGGGACCTGTGGAAGCAGTGGACTGAGTCTGGAGTAGAAACATCCAGAGCCACCGTGCACAGGCGTGTGCAGGAAATGGGCTACAGGTGCCGCATTCCCCAGGTCAAGACACTCTTGAACAAGAGACTGCGTCAGAAGCATCTCGCCTGGGACTGCTGCTGAGTGGTCCAAAGTTATGTTCTCTGATTACAGTAAATTTTGCATTTCCTTTGGAAATCAAGGTCCCAGAGTCTGGAGGAAGAGAGGAGACACAGAATTCACATTGCTTGAGGTCCAGTGTCAAGTTTCCACAGTCACTGGGGTGTCATGTCAGCTGCTGGTGTTGGTCCACTGTGTTTTATCAAGCGCAGGGTCAATGCAGCTAGCTATCAGGAGATTTTGGAGCACTTCATGCTTCCATCTGCTGAAAAGCTTTATGGAGATGAAGATTTCATTTTTTAGCACGACCTGGCACCTGCTCACAGTGCCAAAACCACTGGTAAATGGTTTACTGACCATGGTATTACTGTGCTCAATTGGCCTGCCAACTCTCCTGACCCGAACCCCATAGAGAACCTGTGGGATATGGTGAAGAGAAAGTTGAGAGACGCAAGACCCAACACTCTGGATGAGCTTAAGGCCGCTATCGAAGCATCCTGGGCCTCCATAACACCTCAGCAGTGCCACAGGCTGATTGCCTCCATGCCACGCCGCATTGAAGCAGTCATTCATGCAAAAGGATTCCCGACCAAGTATTGAGTGCATAACTGAACATGATTATTTGAAGGTTGGCGTTTTCTGTATTAAAAACACTTGTCATTCATTGGTGGGATGAAATATGCTAATTTTTTGGGACAGGCATTTTGGGTTTTCATGAGCTGTATGCCATAATCATCAGTATTAAAACAATTAAAGACCTGAAATATTTCAGTTGGTGTGCAATGAATCTGAAATATATGAAAGTTTCATTTTTATCATTACATTATGGAAAATAATGACCTTTATCACAATATGCAAATTTTTTGAGAAGGACCTGTAGTTCAGTTTTCAGGAGGATGCGTTTTTTTGGACAGACTTTCTGACGCATACATGCAAGTTTGGTAGGGACATTATTTTTTTAGTCAAGAGGAGCTAGTTGAGGTGGTTCAGACATCTGGTAGGGATGCTCCCTGGAAGCCTCCTTAGGGAGGTGCTCCAGGCATGTTCAACTGGGAGGAGACTCTGGGGACTACCCAGGACTTGCTGGAAAGTCTAGGTCTATTGGCTGGCCTGGGAACACCTTGGAGTCCCAGAAGGGCTGGAAGAAGTGGCTGGACCTGCTTAAACTGCTGCCCTTGAGACCTGACTCCAGAACAAGAGGAAGATGACTGGTGGTTATTTTTAGTGTTCTTCTTTGTCGTTGTTCTTCATCTGCATCATGACACAGCTTTTCATCTTGTATTCTCTCATAAAAACATTTTATATGCGTGTGTGTGGGGGGCGGGCGGTGTCATTTTGAACACTGCAATACAAACCCATTTTCAAACAACATTTATGTTTGCGGGTCAAGTCATTTTATAACGAAGTTTAGAGACTTTTCCCAGCTTGTGTAACACATGCACACAACACAGACACAGTAAAACTCAGAGGTTTAAATGGAAATGAACTGTCGTTCAGCTGTCAGTCACTGCAAACTGCCTGCCTAGAGACAAAAGTACACATGTTGGTTTCTCCGTTTGTATGAGGGGTGTCCTTCAGTATTGTCCAACACATTTCTTGTGTGTGACTGGAAACAAAAACCTGTCCTCAGCCTGGTACATGTGACATATTTGAAAATCTAGCGTGTGATTGGCTCCCTCGATCGTAAAATCCTCTAACAGAAACGAGCAACAATCATGCATCTTCACAAAGGTAGTCCTATTTCATGGTTCATTCTGGACTGCAGTAACTTGTGTAAGACAGAATCTACTCCCTGTACTCTGAATTCATGGTACAATGTCAATGCAAGACATATTTAGTGATAATATAGGGAGAAAAGAAAGGACTTCTACAGTGACTGAGAAGTATTAACAAAATAGACTTTAAAAACAACACTCGCTCAGACAAGCGAGTAAACCGCTTTAAAAAAGTCTCCACTCAGACAGAGGTATGAAATGCTCCTGGCTCATCCCGCTCCTCTTCGTCCATTTTGCGCCCATGTTTCCGGAAATATTTGTAGCGTTGGACGTAGAGCTTCACAAGGTTACAGACTTTAACTGGGTTGATTTCTCCAGTTCGGCTGTGGCATATCTGAGGAAACAACATAGTTTGGGTTAAGTGGTATCAAAGAGAGAAACCTGAGTATATCTTTTAGAAAAAAAAATCTAATGAACCAGTGGACACATTTTAATAAAACTCCTAAAGAGTAACCGTTTAAAGTACAGTGGTGCTTGAAAGTTTGTGAACTCTTTACAATTTTCTATATTTCTACATCAATATGACCTAAAACATCTTCAGATTTTCACACAAGTCCTAAAAGTAGATCAAGAGAACCAAGTTAAACAAAAAATATTACTCGGTCATTAATTTATTGAGGAAAATGATCCAATATTACATGTTTGTGATGGTAAAAGTATGTGAACCTCTAGGATTATCAGTTAATTTGAAGGTGAAATTAGAGTCATGTGTTTTCAATCAATGGTTGATGATCAGGTGTGAACGGGCACTCTGCTTGATTTAAAGAACAGGATCTATCAAAGTCTGCTCTTCACAACATGTCTGTAGAAGTGGATCATGGAGGAACAAAGGAGATTTCTGAGCTCAGAAAAACAGTTGTTGATGCTCATCAGGCTGGAAAATGTTACAAAACATCTGTAAAGAGTAATCCACAGTCACACAGATTGTGAACAAATGGAGGAACGTCAAGACCATTGTTACCCTCACCAGGAGTGGTGGACCAACAAAGATCACGCCAAGGTGTGGAATAGTCAGCAAGGTCACAAAGGACCCCAGGGTAACTTCTAACAACTGAAGTCCTCTGTCACAATGACTGATGTTCATGTTCATGAGTCCACCATCAGGAGAACTCTGAACAATAATGATGTTCATGGCAGAGCTGAAGGAGAAAGACACTGCTCTCCAACAAGAACATTGCTGCTTGTCTGCAGTTTGATAAAGATAAATGGTAAATGGACTGTACTTATATAACGCCTTTCTATCTGATCAAGATACTCAAAGCGCTTTACACTACAATCTGTGCCTCATTTACCCATTCATACAGCTCTATACTAGATCACTACAAAGCTAATTGAACAAATCATTCTAAAGAGACTAATCAGAGACTAATCACATTCATACACCGATGGGACACACAGAGGCAATGAGGGGTTCAGTGTCTTGCCCAGGGACACTTCGGCATGTGACTGCTGGTGGATTCAAACCCCCAACTTTTGCATTGGAGGACGACTGCTCTAACCACTCAGCCACAGCCGCCCTAAAGATAAAGATCCGCCATAAAGATCTCGTGAACAAACCAGAAGGCTGTTGGAAGAATGTTTTGTGGACGGATGAGACCAAAATAGAACTTTCTGGTTTAAATGAAAAATGTTCTGTTTGGAGAAAGGAAAACTGCATTTCTGCAGAAGAACCTTATCCCAACTGTGAAACATGGTGGTGGGAGTATCATGGTTTGGGCCTCTTTTGCTGCAGGATGGCTTATCATCATTGATGGAACAATGAATTCTGAATTATATCAGAGAATTCTAAAGGAAAATGTCAGAACATCTGTCCATGAACTGAATCTGAAGAGAAGGTGGGTCATGCAGCAACACAATGACCTGAAGCACACAAGTGGTTTTACCAAAGAATGGTTCAAGATGAATAAAGTTCATGTTTTGGAATGACCAAGTCAAAGTCCTGACCTTAATCCAATCCAGATGTTGTGGAAGGACCTGAAGTAGCTGTTAATGTGAGGAAACCACCAACATCCAGAGCTGAAGCTGTTCTGTACGGAGGAATGGACTAAAACTCCTCCAAACTGAGCAGGACTGATGAGCAGTTACCAGAAATATCCTGATGCATGCTCAATAATCCAGGTAGAAAAATCCAAAAAAGTTCAATCTGGTCCTCTGGACATTAAAAAAAAACAAAAAAAACAAAACAAAGCAAAAAAAAATGTAGATACGTTTCGTCTTTTGTTTTTTTGAATGTCCAGAGGACCAGATTGAACTTTTTTGGAGTTACCAGAAATATTTAGTTGAAGTTATTGGGGGGGGGGGGGGGTCATTTTTCCCAAATTAATGTAAATTAATGACCCAGTAAAATATTTTTGTCTCATTTGTTTAACTGGGTTCTCTTTATCTACAGACACTTTCCAAAAAATTAGAATATCATGGAAAAGTTGTTTAACTTCCATAATTCCATTCAAAAAGTTAATCTTGAATAGATGATAGATTCAGGCCCACAATTTAAACAGTTTTAAGTATTTAGTCGTTTATTTTTACACAATTTGGGCTTCCAGCTCATGAAACCCATGAAAACAGGATTTAAAAAAATTAGAATACTGTGAAGACATCAGTCCACAATACTCAGTTTTTGCAAAAAAAAAAAAAGAAAAAAAAAAGAAAGAAATTAGGATCACAACAAATCAATCAAATATGGGACTTTCAAAACGATATGTCAATCTTCAATACTTGGTTGGGAATCCCTTTGCCTTAATAACTGCCTCGATGCAACGTGGCATTGAGGCAATCAGACTGTGACATTGATGGGAGTTATGGAAGCCCAGATTTCCTTGATGTTTGCCGTCAGCTCTTCTTTGTTGTTGGATCTGGTGCCCTTCATTTCCCTCTTGAGAATACCCCATAGATTCTCAATGGGGTTTAGGTCCAGCAAGTTGTCTGGCCAGTCGAGCACTGTGGCATGGGTATCAAACATCAAAATTATGGGGGAGTGGTGGTGCAGAGGTTAGAGAAGGTGGGCCTGTGATCGAAAGATCGCCGGTTCAAGCCCTGGTACAGACAACATCAAAAATGTGGGTGGGGTAGGTGAAGCACCCACAACTGCTCCCACCCTCATTCGCCCCAGTCTGGGCCCACGAGCAAGGCCCTTAACCCCCATCTGCTCCCTAAACAGGTCTCTCTTGAAAATGAGTTCTCGTGGCTCAACGAGACTACCTGCATAAATAAAGGGTAAATGAAAAAAACAAAACAAAAAAAACAGGTTTTGGTGCTTCTGGCGGCATGGGCAGGGGCCAGGTCCTGCTGGAAGATGAAATCTGCATCTCCATACAGATCCTCAGCAGAAGGAATCATGAAGTCCTCTAAAACATTCTGGTAGACTGTTGAGATGACCTTGGATTTAAAAAAGCAGAGTTTACCAACACGTGCATCTGGACATTACACCCCAAATCATGACTGACTGTGGATATTTCACACTGAACCTCAAGCAGGGTTCTGTTCCTCACCCTTCTTCCTCCAAACACTTGGACCTTGATTTCTGAATGAAAGGCACACATTGCTTTTATCGGAAAAGAGGATCGAGGAACCCAAAAGTTGTAGCCCATCGCCTGGATGCGTCTGAACGTGGTGGTTTTTGAAGCTGTGACTCCCGCCTCATTCCACTCTTTCTGGATCTCTGCCAGATTCTGGAATCTTCTCTGTTTGATAATACACTGAAGCCCACAGTCATCTCTTTTGCTGGTGCATCTTCTCCTGCAACATTTTGCCCTTCCACTACACTTTCCATTGATATGCTTGGACATAGCACTCTGTGAACAGCCAGCCTCCTTAGCTATGAACTTTTGTGGCTTACCGATCCTATGGAAGGTATCAATCAATGATGGTCTTCTGGCCAGTTGTTACGTCTGCAGTCTTCCCCATATTGAACCCAACTGAGACAACTGAACCAAACTGAAGAAATTTAACGACACCTGGGGAAACCTGTGCAGGTGCTTTGAGTTTAGTAGAGGATTAATGTGTCACACTCAGTTTAAAGCATTCATGCCCTGCAAAATTTGGGCTGATTTCTCCACAGTATTCTATTTTTTTTTTTAAATCCTGTTTTCGTGGGTTTCATGAGCTGGAAGCTCAAATTATGTAAAAATAAACAAATAAATACTTGAAATTGTTTAAATTGTGGGCCCTGAATCTATCATATATTAAAGATTAACTTTTTGAATGGAACTATGGAAGTTAAACAACTTTTCCATGATATTCTAATTTTTTTGGAAAGGGTCTGTACCTTTAGGACTTGTATGAAAATCTGATGATGTTTTAGGTCATATTTATGCAAAAATATAGAAAATTATAAAGACAAAGAGGAGATATATGATGCAATTAGAGAGGACATGGATGTAGCTGGAGTAAGGACAGAGGATGCAGAGGACAGAGTAAGATGGAGGATGACTCGCTGTGACGACCCCTGAAGAGGAAAAACTAAAAGAACATGAAAAAGAATATAAAGGCTTCACAAAGTTTCAAGTGCCACTGCATGCCTACAACTGCTTAGCCTTTAAAGCTAACCAGATTCAATATGGCTGCCACAGCAAACTGACCTTATAAAACAAAAAAACATCTGCAATGCAGCCAAATTTGCAGATATACAAGCAGTACGCCTATATCTCCTGTCACAGAGGGATTTGAAAAGTGAATGTTTGGTGGAGCAGAGTGATAGATCCTGGTGAGTGGAAGGAGCAGTTGCATCTACCACCAGGTACAACAGAGGAGCCAGGTGTGAATAATTGTGGCCTTGACCACCAAAGAACATTCTTAAGTCACCCCAGGGTTCACCCCAATGATTTGAGGAAACTATTGTTTTAAGCAAAAAATAAAAACTAGAAAGCATAGTTCCCTCAAATGATAGGGTATAGGCCAGCAACCATCTTGGATTTTGACATGGCAACCCATTTGTTGATAGGGACTTTTCAACGACTGGATGTAGCCACACATGAAAATGAAAATCGGAATGTTGTGTATGTTTCAAGACATCCAGCTCACAAGGGTAACATATAGTGGTATAGTATATAGTAGTATCTTGTATACTCTTCCTCCAGACTCTGGCACCTTGATTTTCCGAATGACATGCAAAATTTGCTTTCATCCGAAAAAAGTACTTTGGACCACTGAGCAACAGTCCAGTGCTGCTTCTCTGTAGCCCAGGTCAGGCGCTTCTGCCGCTGTTTCTGGTTCAAAAGTGGCTTGACCTGGGGAATGCGGCACCTGTAGCCCATTTCCTGCACACGCCTGTGCACGGTGGCTCTGGATGTTTCTACTCCAGACTCAGTCCACTGCTTCCGCAGGTCCCCCAAGGTCTGGAATCGGCCCTTCTCCACAATCCTCCTCAGGGTCCGGTCACCTCTTCTCGTTGTGCAGCGTTTTCTG